TAATGTTAAGTCCCTCTTGCCCTCTTTGGGGAGCTCACCTGCCACAATGGAATTCATTTTAAATTTCCAAATGCTGAGATTTTTTATTTTTTTTTTCATTCATTGGAAACATGGTTTGCAAGCCAGGAGGAAGCAATAAAATCTCTATTTCTAGAAGCGGATTAGACTTGCTCCCTGCAAGCTTTGCAAGTAAAGGCTCTGAGAATTTTGGGATCTGCTTCTGCAGTTCACTGACAGGCTCCTGACACGGAAGGTTTGACTTAGCAGTGTTCAGTTGATGTAATGGTGCAGTGAGCTCCTGGCCTGTTGCTGAACTCTGGGCTGGAGGTGACTCAGGGGAATGAGCAGCCCTGTCAGCGTGCAGGGCTCTGTGTGGCACACCAGGACATGATCCCAGGCAGGGGACGTCTGCCTGAGCACAGGCAGAAATTCAGTGTGGGAGAAAAAGGTGGAAATTCTGAATAAAGAGCTATTTCTGCTCCTGGGGATAATCTGTTGAAGATTTGTTAAGTTCTAGTTTTATTCCCTCCTTTTTCCTGTATCTTGGCTTAAAAAGCAGAGCACTAAGAAACACTGGTTTTAAATATAACCTTTATATATTCTTATTCCCTTTATCTATGAGGTGCCTTTACATGGGGTGAAGCAATTTGATTTTCTCCCTTCTTGAAATGCTGATAAAACTGATAGCATCCCCTTTCCAGGGGAGTGAGTGGAGAGCAAAGAATTGAGATGGACTGAGATATTCCAGGGGCTGCCAGAGTTGCAGTGTTGCTGCTGGGAAAGCAGACTCTGTTTGATCTCTATTTGATCTTGGCTCCTCTGAGACCTGACAGATTTGTAAGTCATAGCCTTTAGCTGCTGCTTTGATTGTGAGGGCAAAGTGCTGCAACGAGGTTTTGTTCTCAAAACGGAGAGAAAGGAGCAAGAATGAAAACGTGTGTGTAAGGAGGCAGGGGAAAAACCAAGGCCAAGTGTAATTCCAGCCAGCAGGAAGGATATCACTGGAAACTTGAGCTACTAGCAAAGTTGAAAAATGAAAAATAAAAAAAAGGAACATTTGCTTGGGCCATGATATTGTGAGGTCATGGGCTTTCTCCTTTCAGTCTCTGTTAAAATTGGGCAGTTTTGGTCCAAAATCACCAGAACACAAATCTTGAGGTGTAGTGGGGAGCTGTGGGGTTTGCCTGGAGCAATAGGGAGGAATTTTCCTGCTCACCAGTGAGGCTTGAACCCCATCTGGGAAGCCCCATGGGGAGGACGGATTGCTGTGCAAACACGAGCCCTGTCTTGGAAAAGTGCTGGCCAAATCTGTCCCTTCATGCCACGTAGAATATGGCACTCAGGGCTCCCTTCCTGCTTTTCTTTGGCATTTGGACTTCTGAAAATCCCTCAGCCCCACTGGGGACATGGTTACTAGCAGTGGGATCAGTCTGGAAAAATCTCTTACTGCTGTTTGTTCCCCCTGTTCCTCCGCAGGGTTTTTGTCAGTTCATCTTCATTTTGCTGTTTCTTCCAAAGGGAATTGCTTGAACTCAGCACCTTGAGGCAGTTAAATGTAGAAAATCAAGTGTTTTGTAGCAGCTGGATTCACCCAGGCTGTGTTTCCCCAACATTTCTGCTGGACAAAGGGTGGAATTTTCTGTGTCCAGCCTGGATTGGCTTGGTAAGCTCAGGCTATGGATGTTAGTGAAATTTTTCCAGCATTTGTATCTGTTGGGAACAAATTCAGGATGTTTTGGTTTTTTTTTTTCCCTGTTCAATTTATAATTTTCATTAAACTTTTAAGAACCTGAAAAATAGGAACAAACTGCTCGAGTAAAGGAGCCCAAAATGCTGGAAGTGCCTGAAGGAAGATTTCCCTCACTACTCAGGTGAAACCTGAGATTTATGGTTGGATTTGATGATCTTAAAGGTGTTTTAAAACTAAAATGATTCTACAGTTCCACTCACTCAAAAGCTTAGTGGATTCTAAGAAAAAGCTTTGAAGATACCCAGTGTTACTCTGTGGATCTTGGTAGCCTTGGAGTGATGGTGAAGAGGCAGAGGTAGAGTTTAGTGCCAAGTTCTTGTTTTTCCTTGTCTTTTTTCCTGCCTGGAAAGTGGACATGGTGTTGTCCAGCCCAAAACTCTGAATTTATCAGTTAAAACTTGTGAAGCTTCTGTAATTCTTGTGGGAATCAGGGCTTTTGTCACAACTTCGGCTGCTACCCCAGGGCAGTTATGTGACAGCATTGAGGGGTTTGAGGAGAGAATCCTGCTGACAGGAAAAACAGTCTGAAAATTTGAATGCTAAAAAGGCAAACTCACTATTTTGGTTGCAAAAACCCAGATTTGTGCAATCAATCTCCAGACTCTTTTGGGACTTGTAGTAGTGTGGTTCTGTATTTCCTCAAGCAGTCAAAATCTTTTCATCATGATTTTGCCTGTGTCTGCATTCCACTTGCAGTAGTGTTTTATTAGGAGTCTTAACTTCCACTGTTTTGTGTAGCTCCTAAAATACTTTTGCTTGCCACTTTTTTTATTTTATTTCTTGACTTGGAAGTGACCAATTGCTTTGAGACCAGCACTTAAAATATCTGTAAAGTGTCTGAATTGGAGAGTAACTGTTGGTGCTGAGCAAACTGTGAAAGCACACAAGTTGAAACATTTCTCATAACGTCTTTGCTTTTTCCAAAAATGATTACACAATTCCAGGAAATTAAATGTAGCATTTCTTCACTGAGAATAACTGAGTATAAATAATGGAAAACAAAGGAGAGGGGGAGTAGATGGGAAAGAAAAGTTGGGAGGGGGAAAGGAGCACACAGAAAAGAAGATTATGTCCTACCCTGGAATTTCAGAGGATGCACTGACCCTGGTCAGTATTATTAATATATCAGAGCCCTGAGCTCTGTAGGCGTGGGGCACGACCTGACTCAGTAATCCAGGAAGTCTTTGTGTGTTTCCCTCTGTGCTTTTTCCATCAGACCTTCAGACTTTCAGCTTGGGTTCTCAGCAAAGCTTCCAAGTGAAGCAGGAGCTTGTCTGACACAGGGTGAGCTCGGAGCACACGTCCCTGCCTGGGGGCTTTACCTGGGGGCTGGAGCTGCAGGCAGGACTGCCACATTTACACTCTGCCCTCTGCTGCAACACAGATTTGTGGAAATGACTGAAATCTTGTGTAGGAAAGCTGTTGCTTTCTCATCTTTGAAATGCTGATAGCTGATAATGAGTATTGAACTGATTATTGAGATATTAAGTTTAAAACTTGAGGTGTAAGGGTCTCCTTACACCTTGAGGTGTAAGGGTCTCTCTGTTTATTTCTTTATTTCACTTCATTCTTTTTTTCTTAATTTCTTTATATCCTGAGAGCACCTTTATTTCTTTTATATCCTAGGAGCACCTGAGACCTGCCCAGGGTTTGAGATCCCTTTCTTAGTTGTCAAACAGGCACAGAGGAAAAATTGAGAACACAGTTCAGTGTCCTGGCAGGTCACAGAGTGTAGTGATTTAATCCAAACTGCATTTTGGTGCCATTTGTTCTTGCAACTGTGTGCCACTCTAGTGGTTATTACAAAATACTATACATAATCCTGGAAGTTCAGAATTTGGCTATTACTGATTACCAGGTGTGTTTACATCACTTCTCGGCTGTTACAATGCCTAGACTTTGTTTTCAAATTTTAAAAGAAGTACTGAGAAAGGTTTTATTGCCTAATCCTAGAATGGTTTGGTGGGAAGGACCTTAAAGATGACCCAGTTCCACCCCTCTGCCATTGGCAAGGACATTTTCCACTAGAGCAGGTGCTAGAACTTCCAGCAAGAGGCACATTGTAAAAGCATTGTCTGGCTGTAAATGCATGAGGTTTGCAAGAAACAATTCTTCCATTACGTGTTTTCAATAATTCTGTGTCAAATACTCTTGCTAACTCTTAGTAGGCTTTTAGTATGCACATAGATGTTTTTAATACCTCCAGCATTCAGAAGGATTTTTAATGATTTGTTCAATAATTGATGGAGCTTTGGCATAATTTAGGCTTTTGTGAGGGATGGCAGGCAGATGAGTAGAATATATTTAGTTGTTTAGTTTAACCATCCCTCTCTGTGAATTCTTTAGGTGAAAAGCAGAACAAAGGAAAGGAGCAAGTGAGAGAACTTCTTGGAGGAAATTATCCCCTTAACTGAAAAGTGGAGAAAGCCTTAATTAACTTATTAAAGTGTTTTCTGAGCACTAACAATCATTACCTTTCAGAACTGTGTGTGGTTATATGGACCTTTATATTTACATCTATTTCCCTGGTAGCCAATAAATTCAGTTTCTCAGCTTGTTTCCCTCAGTCTGGGTGAGATAAAGCAGAAAACAGGAGCTGTCCTCTTGCTGTCGTCTTTTAAATACTGAAATCCTTTTTAATCTTTGATGCCAAATCCATATCTGTAGACACCAGTCTACTTTGACAGGTAGTAAGAAGTACCCTTTAATGAGGAAAACCACACTGAAAGTCTGGATTTTGTCACCAGTTATATAAAATTGCTGGGCTCTTTCTGATATAACCAGAAATTTACTTCACCTGAAGTCCTGGCTTTTAACTGGAAATCAGTTCGATTGTTCACTTCTTTCAAAAATAAACAAGCCAAAGCTCCCTCAGCTCCAAGTCTTTGCTAGGGTGCAAGTTGCTGCAAGGGTTAGGAATTGAGTATAATTTCAGAGAAAAAAGGTGTTTAGAAAAAATACAATATTTTTTACATACAGAATACCATATAAAATTGATATGTATGTAAAAATATATATAAAAATGTAAAAAAAGTATTGGGTGCTTTTGAACTAGAAACAAACAAGTGCAGCTTGGGGTTTTCCATTAAAAACAAACAAAAGAAATCCTATTGTATGTGCTTAGCCAACCTTGTAATACCATGTTACCCTACACTGCTTTTCCTGATCACAGCAAAGGTGTTTATGTAGAAAAATGATTTGATTACAATATTTTTGTGTGTAATAGACATCTTTTTTTTTTAATCCACAGGCAGTCAGCTCAAAAGGCCACCACAGCATCTCTTACACATTATCCAGAACCCAGACAGTTGTTGTGGAATATATTCATGACAGAGACACAGACATGTTTCAGGTAAGGCTCTAAAATACTTGGATTATTTTTAAAAGCATCATAAGAAACCCCAGTTCTGCCTTGTGCTCTGGGTGTTCTCTGTGACCTGTGGGATTTCCACAGCCTGACCCAGCTGCATTCATATGGCAGCACTTGGAAATTTTGCATTATTCTGCTCTTCGCAAACCCACAGCAGCATCTGTTAATATCTTACCGAGTTCCTCCTTTAGTTGTGCTCTGCCTTTTCTCCCAAGACAAACAGTACTGGAGAGAAAAGTGTGCTCTGTTTGGATTCATGAATTAGCACAGAATTACACCCACCCCCTCCAGATAACCATGGAATAAAAAGGAAGAGGAAAGAATTGGACATGGGATGGGGAAGGAGAAAGGTAAAAGAGCTGGGAGTAGGGGGGACAAACCAGTGATAAATGATATTTATCATTTCACTCATAATAATGAGTTCTGAGGGGTGTGCAGATCCCTCAGGTGGTGTGGGCTGAGTTTCTCAGAGCTCCCATCATTGTCCAGCACGTGCTCAGTGTCCCCTGTCTGCATTTGTGGTTTTCTGCATCATTTACCAGTGTAGTAACCTAAGTGATTTTCTTGTGCCATGGTTATTTTTATGCAGAATAAGAGAGCAGAAATTCTGTGTGTAGTTAGACTTCAAACTTGGGGAACCCAAACATGCCAAACAACCTTTTTCATTCTAGACTGTCAGGTCTGTGTTACCCAGAGCATCTCACCAGGAATGGTTATCCCTCCTCATTCAGCCTTTCACATTTAGAAGGGCCAGCAGCTGAGTGCTGCTGACAGAGAGGAAATAACTCTTTGGAGGTGTTGTTGCTTCTCTTGACTTCTGTGTTTTGCTCTATATTAAATTTTCCACTGTGTCTGAAACTATTAGGTCCAGATAGGAATTGATTAAAACCCAGTCTTATTAATTTGCTTCAGAATGAAGGATTGAACAGCCAGGATGAACTGAAATAGGTTTTTCTGTGTTGACTAGTGAAAGAAAAATGTAACCCATCTGTTGGGGTTACTGTGTGATGCTTGTTTAGCTTTGAGTAGCTACAGCACAATTTTTTTCCTGTGTATAAATTTTGAAAAACCATTTTTGAAAGCTGGATTTTTCTTCTTCTTGAGTACAGTAAAAAATGAATAAAGAGTTGCAGAACAGCTGCTTCTTCAGGGCATAAAAATCTATTGCATAGTGTCCTAGTGGTGGGTACAGCTTTTTTGGGGGAATAAACACCATTTCAGTCTTGGGGTGTGTGGGGGGTCCTGATGGGACTTGATCTCAGTGTGGGCTCGAGTGCTGTGTCCTGGGTCAGGTTTCTGCTCTCTGGCTCTTTCCTGAGGGTTGCATTCCATGCGTTGGCCTGCAGGAGTGGTCTGCTGCGCTGTGGCAGTAATTCCCCCTGAAGCAATGCCAGAGCAGCTGAAGAGGTTTCCATTATTTATATGAGCCACCAGATTGTAACTGTTCTCATGAATCTGTTGGACAAAAGTTCCTTGAGGATGTTCAGTGCAGCCCTGTGGTACATGATGACAAAATTCATGTTTGTTGATCAACAGAGCAGAGTTTCATTGTTGGTCAGGCATCACTTGGACAGACTGCGCTTGGAGTTTGATGTTTTCTTTTTAATGTGTGTTCTTGGCTTGTGTAGGATGTGGAAGTTGAAAAGAGGAGGATAATTCCTGGACCACAGGATTATCCTGAGCCTTGAGGCCCCACTTTGACTGCAGTTAACATGTATTATCCTGGGCAAATCTTGGGTTTTTTGTTCTTTATTCCCGCTGTGCTTCTTGAGCTGTTCTGCTGTGTTGTTTGTAGTTTTGGATTTTGGGTTTTTCAAATGTAACTATATTATGAAATCTGTGTGCAAATGCTGCTGTGCACCTTTGTCTGAGTGACACCCAGGTCAGATTTCTTCATTTAATTACAAAAAACAATGCACAAATGTGTTCTTCTAGAATCCCCCAGGCTCTGTATGCTCCAGCACCCATGTGCTGCTATGAATGAAGATTTTCCTCAGAGTTTAACCACTCTGTTGATGATGCATTAGCTGAAGTTGAACCTGTTCCTTCATGGTGAAAATGGGTTGATTATATCTACTCATGCCACTACAAAACCCAAAATGTGCAGCTCCTACCCTAAATAACCACAAGTTTATACAAGAAGCAGGTATATTCAATACAAAGCATTGATTTTTTTTTCTGAAAAATGACCCTTCAGAAGATGCAGAATCGAATTCTCACTCTCACCAGAGTGAAATTGTGTTGAAGCCCTGAACCTGCAGCTGTTAAATTCTGTGCTGGCAGAGTTTTCTTGTCAGGAGCAGTGTTTCACTGACAGGAGCAAAGCCACTGCCTGTCTCTCACACAGTTTAACAATCACCTGCAGAGGACACAACTCTGCTGCCTCTGCAGCACCTGGCACATTTATGGGTTCTTGTTGGAAGTAACTTGGGGAAATCAGATGACACAGGTAACAAGAAGGGTCCCAAAGTACAGACTGAAGTTGCTAAAAGAAGAAAGTCTTCTGTGCTGTGGTGGAAAATGGGAGAAAAATGAGCAATGAAGGGTGTAAAGAGCAGCTCTGAATAATGGTCTGGGTCTGTAGTGGCTGTGCTCTGGCTGCAGATGAGGTAAAAGTTCTGCAGGGTGGATGTTGATAGCATCAAGTTTTTCATTTATTCCTTAGGCACTTGCTTTTCAGGTGATCTCAAACCCAAATCCATGATTTAATACAGAGCTTGAGAAAATTGCCAGATTTTGAAGGCCACTTTTTCAAATAAATTCAAATGCTGAAAAGTAGCACAATACATGAGACTGATCCTCTAGCAGGCTTTCTCAACTGGAAAAGGGAAGAAAACCAAATATTTAAAAGATTTGATTTTGCACAGATATACTTGTGACACAAATGAGATAAGTACTAAAATGTTTATATAAAATACTACTTCTAGAGATTATAAACAATGCATCTATGTGCTTTTTTAAGATCTTAATGGTTATATCTAAAGAAATTGGAATTTCATGGTGAATGATTACTGTGATGTAAGGCTGGGAGCACACACTTGTGTGCTTTGTCATCCTTTAAGGAAAAATGAGGCAGATTTTTCTCTAATTGCATCTAAAAGCTTTGAGAGAATGATCTATTTCAGAGACTGCAAGAGGCAGAAACTTGTTATGAACAAATTAATTTCATATTTGTTATTGATTATCCTTTGTACAGATGGAGAACAGTCAAAAGTTATTCATGAGGTTCCTGCTGCTGCTCAGTGCTGACTCTTAGCAGGAATTGCTTTGAATGGAAAATAGAAACCTGGTAGAAATAATACTGTAAAAGGAAGAAGAATATTGCTTTGTAAGATTTAGCTTCAAGTTGTCAAGTTCTATAAATCAGGAATATCCCATCTTAAATAGTTTCTAAACTCTTTCTCCTGGGTATTCTAGTAGACACTTTTTGTGGGAAATTGAAATGTAGACTTTTGATTAGGCCTTGTTGAGTATTTGCTGTGCAGGGAGCTGATCCCATTTTCTGCCTGTGCTGAGCCCTGGGATGTGGAGGCAGTAACTGGAGGTGTCACTGGGGACAGGAATTCTGACATGTGTTACTCTGCAGCCTGCACACAGAGCATGAAGGAGAAGCACAGCAGAGATCCCTGCACTGTTCCTGTCAATCCAGTTGTGACAAGGCTTAGGTGTGGATAATATTCATTTCCTTAACTCTATAACAGTGTTTCTTTAAAGCAGATTTAGTTTGCAGAGATGTTTGTTAATGATAGAACCGTGCATGGCTCCCCATCAAGATCTGAACTTCTGGGTGGGGGCAGTGAGATCATGTTTAGTGAGGAGGTTATTTAATATCAATGGATATACTTGATAACTGAAGGTAGTTTCATGTGAAGAATATTCCTAATTCTGTTTGATCACAAGGTGTCTGTAAAATTAATACTCTGTTCCACTTCTTGTTCCTCAGCTCCAGTCTCCCAGTTAAGCTCAAAGTTGGTGTAACACTAATTTGCCTGTAGAAATATTGATAAAGCCTCACTGTCTGTCTGGCAGTCAGATCCTTCCATCCATGTAGTCATGAAGTTTTCTGTCCCAGATGTTTCCAGATTTAGAATTAAAATTTTTAGCTGATAAGACAGAAAAATCTTCCTCTCTACTACTGAGTCTTCCTGTCTACACATTATTGGGTGTGTTTCATTTCTGCTCAACTCAAGAAAGTTTTTAAATTCTCTTAGTCATGCATGTGCATGATTAGGAATAAATTTCAACATAGGGTGGGTTTTGCCTGATGACTCCTCTTTCAGGAACTACAAATCCTGAAAACATGAAGGTGGGTAGCTCTTTGTTATGGCATATCAAAATAATCAAGTTCTGGGGCTAAAAAAAGTCTTTTATTTTCATGGCAAATGTATTTGGAACTGGAAAATGTGACTAAAGCTTGTCAATCCAAGCTAGTGCTTTCCTGACTGACAGAATGTGGTGGTAAGTAATTTGCTGCGGTTGGATGAGGAAATAGCAAGGTGATAATACATTTTTTGGTGACAATACTCTTATCAAACAGATCAGCCATGTTGATCTGTTTCAAGCAAGCATGAACATCACTTGTGGTAAGTGAAAATTTGTCATTCCATGTCTGTGATGTATTTCTGCCTAGGACAAATGTGGAAACACAGGTTAGTCTCTGGTTGGATCTTGTAATCCAAAAATTCAGTACATAGAAGTTTGCTATGTCATCAGTCCTAACCTGGCAAAACTATGTCCTAATGCTTCATATTTCTGTAGGTATTTCTATTTATACCATTATCTTAATTTTTTTGCAGGTTGGGAGGTCTACAGAAAGCCCCATAGACTTTGTAGTAACAGACACTATTTCAGGAAATCAAAACAGTGATGAAACCCAGATCACCCAGAGCACCATCTCCCGATTTGCCTGCAGGATTGTTTGTGACAGGAACCCACCATACACAGCAAGGATCTTTGCAGCTGGCTTTGACTCGTCTAAAAATATATTTCTTGGTGTAAGTACTGCTAATAATGATGTTACAAGCAAGCTCTGGTTTATATTCTGTTACTTTCCAGCCCCCAAATCTCCTTGTACTTGTTGATAACTTGTACTGTCATTAGGCTTTTATTACTCCAATGCACCAGCTGCAGTGTTAAATAGAAACTGCATTTTTATGTGCCTGAGTTATCACCAGCAGAGACTCGTGGTCATAATTGTCTTTAACAATGAAGCTGCACTTGAGGAGCTGTTAGAGGATTTTCTTTAGGTTGGTTTGATGCATTTCTGACAGTGACTGTCACACGTAGGAAAAAGCAGCCAAGTGGAAAAACCCTGATGGCCACATGGATGGATTGACAACCAACGGGGTGCTGGTGATGCACCCCAAGGGAGGCTTCACGGAGGAGTCCAAGCCCGGGGTGTGGAGGGAGATCTCTGTCTGTGGGGACGTCTACACGCTCCGGGAGACCAGGTCTGCTCAGCACAGGGGCAAACTGGTGAGTGGGAACTTGTTGGTTTTGTTTTTTTAATTTTTATCTTTGTTGAGGTTGGGATGATGTGATAGTTCACATTCGACTCAGGTGTTTATTATTTTTTATCAATGTCACAGTCTCACAGCAGTGAGTTCTGTAGTTTTTCATTAACAAGGCACAAAAATGGTTAACTATCTCTTGTTACAAGGTTTTTTAAGGCTAAATTAAGAAATGACACTAAATTATTGTCACTTTTAACCCAATAATTAATCACTCAAAGTCCCCACTGTGAACATTTCTGTCCAACTACAAAATACCACCCAAACCCCTGAAGAAGAAAGAAGAAGGTAAAGAGAACAACCTGCTTCTGCCCTAAAACTTCTATCTTGCTTCATATTTATTACTATATTCTAAAACCCCAAACTCTGAGTTTTCCACCCAGTGATATTACACACTTCTAACCAACTACACACCCGTAATCTCAGTGCTATCAATCAATTTTGGAAGCCTGTTCCATGGCTTCAGGTGAGATGTAGTGTTCTCCAGGAAGTCAGAGTCTGTTTGTACAGAAAGTCTGAAATTTCCAACATCCAGAACTCCATCAGGAAGTGACTGAAATTAATGAAGGAGTACTGTGGATGTGACAGTCTGGTCAGAGAGACAGAAAGCTAGAGCAACTTTCCCATGAATCAGTCTGGGAAGTTTCAGGGAGCTGGAGACAAAGGATATTAATCAAATGGAACCAATCCACAGGTGGTGTTTTGTAACAAGCTGTTTTCCTATTAGCTTGTTTACAAATGGGTGTCTTCTTAATTAGCCAATGGTGATGGTGTTTTGATTAAAGGACCAATCAGGTCCAGCTGTAGAGAATTAGAGTGTAGAAAGGAATGGGTTCCTAATAAAATTGTTTTTGGCCTTCTGAAAATGCATGGAGTGTGTCACTCTTTATCAGTGTCACTTCTGACTCAACGGTGCTTGTTTTCCTGGCTGTGAATGCAGGCAGGTACAGGGTGGCAGGCCCTGAGCAGTGGCACTGTGAGTGTGTAAATCTGTGTGTTACAGCAGATTTTGCACTGTTCTTCTGTTCCTGAGTGTGTGGGAGAACACTGAACTTTCTGCTAATGCCACTTTCCCAACTGAAATAGCACAGAGTGTAAAAGCAAAATAAACTCTGCTCTGGGATCTCCATTTCTGGAATGTTCTCCTGGGACATGGGGATGTCTGAAGTTGCTGCATGGGGAGCTGTCTTTTGCAGTACTGCCAGAAGAGTCCACTTTTGTGCAAAAGCAGTTTGGGTAAGGCAGCTCCTGTTTGATTCACCTGCCACTGGGAAGATAAGAGGAGCCCTGGAAGTATATTCCTGTTTTCTCCTGTGAGGCAGGATGAGCTTTGCCTTTGCCAGAAGTGAGGGATTTCAGCTGCCAGGGACTTGTGACACGTAAAATCAGGAGAGAAGCTCAATTAAGTGACTTTGCAACTCTGCCATTGGCTTTGCAGAAACCTGACTGCAGAAGGAGTTAGGGGAGTGGAGTCGGGCTGCTCTGCTTTCAGCAGATGCCCTTCAGGACATAAATTGCTTTGTCACCCTGATGGTGGCAGGCAGATGTTGCCTGGGGACCTGGACAGATGATGTGGCAATTGCAGCCTTTGTGGTTAGCAAAACACCTTTTTAGTGCTGCTAAAGAGAGGCACAGCAAAACAAATGAATCTCCCTCCCTGCATCCAAAACGAGTTGAATTCTCATTTAAATAAAATTGCATGGCACACTGGTATTGATGTGATCAGTATTCCTTGATTGGGTTCATAAAACCAAATGCAGGCTGTATAATGAATTGAACATGTTGCATATGAGGGAGCTTTTTGTTTTGCTGTATGTGAAGGAATTATCTGAAAAGAGCATCAGATCAAGGCTTCTCTCATCTCTACTTCAACCACTACATTTTTCTGCTGGAATTACTTGGCACCGGTGACCTCTTATCTGTAGTCTGTATTGTACCACTGAGGTGTATTGTGCAAGGATGATCCACAGTTAATCTGTGAATTTAAACTGGATTAAAATGTAAATGCTAAATTGGTTGTCATTCATAGTATTCTTAGGCAGATGTGATGATTTCATGTGACCTACTTAATGTATTTGTTTGTATTTCGCTGTTTGTTCTGCATTAGTGGTGTTTTGTGCATAAAGCCAGGCAGTAGGTCTGCTTTTCTCTTTAATTTTATAAAAAGCCTTTTTAATATATATTCATTGCTAATGAATGGATAGCAAAAGCATGGATTGCTTATATGTTTGTGACATTAAAATAAAGAATATTTCAGTCAAGTACAATGTGTGTTTGGCATAATCCCCTGAAAATGTTGTAAGTACCTGCATTTAATCAGAGAGAAGCCTTTAGGCAGTGCATGATGGGGCTATGTTTGCTTGGAATACCTCATTAAATAAGAGGGCTAATGAGTGGGGTGGGTAATTGTTCATAAACTGAGCCTGTGTGACTTCAGATTTGTCACCTGAGAAATTCAGCTGGTGATTGTGTCTGCTGCAGTGCTGAGGCTTGCAGGTACCTGTGCTGCTGCTGAGGCACACTCTGGGAGTTCATGCTTCTGCAGAATGCTTGACCCTTGCCACAAGCCCTGAAAGAATGGTTTCTGAGAGGCAGGACAGCTGGCCTGTCCTGGGTAGCAGTTTTTAGTCCAAAAAGGACTTTTTTATCTTACTGTGTGAGAAGCTTCTGTCAGTGTAATGTGGGCAGAGAATTCCAGGAGAGAATCTGCTAATGCAGCCCTCAGGGAATGGCATGTCTTTTCTTCAGTCTATCAGGACTTACTGAAATATGACAAAGGAACAGAGAATCAATATTGGAGGAAAAAAATGCGTGCTCAGGGGCCCAAAGACTGTATAATAATTTATATTGCAGCTGCAAATGCAAATCCCCTGTACAAGCACAGAATAAGGGAGCAGTGCTCGTTTTAATCCTAAATATAGGTTAGGAGGTGAGGTGGATTCAGGACAACAGTAAGACAAAATTAAGCTGGTTAAATGCTGAGAAAGGGGATGTGGTGTCTGTGTGCTGTTTGTGAGGTCCCAGGACAAGGGAAGAGATGAGAATCTGACTTCATGTCTCAGAAGGCTGATTTATTATTTTATGATATTTCATTATATTATGTTAAAAGAATGCTATACTAAAACTATATGAAAGAAGTAGAAAAAGCATGCATCAGACAGCTGATTATTTGATATTATATTAAAAGAATGCGGTACTAAAACTATGCTAAAGAAATAGAGAAAGGATACATCAGAAGGCTCATTTACTATTTGATGATATTATATTGTATTAAAAGAATGCTATACTAAAACTATACAGAAAGGATACATCAGAAAGCTGATTTATTATTCTGTTATAGGAATGCTATACTAAAACTATACTAAAGAAATAGAGAAAGGATACATCAGAAGGCTGATTGGTTATTTGATATTATATTGTATTAAAAGAATGCTACACTAAAACTATGCTAAAGAAATAGAGAAAGGTACATCAGAAGGCTTACCAAGAATGAATAATAAAAACCTGTGACTCCTCAGAGCCTTGACACAGCTGGACTGTGATTGGTCATTAAATTAAAACAATTCACATGAGACCAATCCAACAATCACATACCACATTCTAAAGCAGGAAAACACAAGGAGAAGCAATCAGGTCATTGTTTACATTTCTCTTGGAGGCTTCTCAGCTTTCCAGGAGAAGAAATCCCGGCGAAGGGATTTTTTTCAGAAGATACCATGGTGACAAAGGGATTTTTTTCAAAAGATATCATGGTGACGAAGGGATTTTTCAAAAAATACCACGATGATAGTGTGTGTAACAGCTCTTTGTGTCCTGCCACCAGGTGGAAAACGAGACCAACGTGCTGCAGGACGGCTCCCTGATCGACCTGTGCGGGGCCACGCTGCTGTGGCGGACGGCGGACGGGCTGCTGCACTCGCCGACGCAGAAACACATCGAGGCTCTGCGGCAGGAGATCAACGCCGCGCGGCCCCAGTGCCCTGTGGGCTTCAACACCCTGGCCTTCCCCAGCATGACCCGCAAGGACGTGGTGAAGAAGAAGGACGTGGAGGAGAAGCAGCCTTGGGCCTACCTCAGCTGCGGCCACGTGCACGGCTACCACAACTGGGGCCACCGCAGCGACGCGGAGGTGAACGAGCGCGAGTGCCCCATGTGCAGAACCGTGGGCCGCTACGTGCCCCTGTGGCTGGGCTGCGAGGCCGGCTTCTACGTGGACGCCGGGCCCCCCACGCACGCCTTCACCCCCTGTGGACACGTGTGCTCCGAGAAAACTGCCAAATACTGGGCCCAGATCCCGCTGCCTCACGGCACCCACGCCTTCCACGCCGCCTGCCCCTTCTGCGCCACGCAGCTCACCGGGGACAACTGCGTCAAGCTCATCTTTCAGGGCCCCATCGACTGAGGAACCGCACGGAAATGACCACAATAAAAAGTTTTTTCGAACGGTTTACTGTGAAGATTTTTTGCCACTAATTCTAGATTTTACCTTTTTTTATAATGTTGTTAATATAGGGGGTGGTAGGGCGGGGATGGAGGGGCCGTGGTGGGGTTGGGATACATTGATACCTGGAACTCGACAGATATCAGTGGTGTTGCATGCTCGAAAGCAGCATATTCATGGAGTCTTCTTGGTCAAATTGTAGTATATTTGTAATCTTTTTATTAGTACCCTGGATCAGAAAAAAGGTGTCTTAAATGATTTTTTTAAGCTAAGATTTTTTAATGGAAAGGTTTTTTCTTCTAAACTTTGACAAGCCTTTAAAACCTATTTTTCAAATCTAGAAGGAACATACAGAATGTAACTGTCTTTAATTTGCAATATAATTTAACTTGAATAGTTTTCTCAAGGAGCAAATACAGAATGTGTGGACAACCATAGGTGAATGTTCACTAGAGATAATTGGATATGTAAGAGAAAAATTAGCTGCCTAAAATGTAGAGGATAAAAGCTATTAAAATATCTATTATGCGATAACACAGCTGGCCAAAAAGGCATCAAAGATTACTTGAAACTGAGGAAATCCTGTTTGCATTGATTTCCTTTCAGTGTAGTAGATATCCACTGGCTATTAGGTATGGGAGATGGCTCATTATTTTCTGGTTTGTTTTTTTTTTTTTTCCATTTAACCTGCATCTGGTGAAACCACTTTGCTCTTTTCCATACCCAGCTCTGGGGTTTAAGCTGATGTTCTGTGTATGTGTGGTCTGGCCTTTTTTATTTCTGTTTTGCTTGCCCTCAGTGCTCCTTCCCCAGAACCTTTGGGTGAGTGGAGGCCACAGATTCCCAAAATGGTTTGGGTTGGAAGGGACCTTAAAGCTCATCAGTTCCTCTCCTGCCATGGCAGGGACACCTTCCACTGTCCCAGGGTGCTCCAATCCCATCCAGCCTGGCCTTGGGGACTCCCAGGGATCCAGGGGCAGCCACAGCTGTTTTGGGCACCCTGGTGGAGCCAGAGCTGTGCCCAGGCTTTGCTGCAGTGATGAGGGGCGGTGCCACAGCAGGAGGTTTAGGTACAGCTGGTACAGAAATTGTTTCCGTAAACCTGAATTTAGGAAAGCACTTAGTCTGTCTTTAAATCTGAGCCCATGGCTGGGACTGTTTAGATTCTCAAGAGCTTCAGTGCATTGTGGTTATTTGCTGTTATGTTTTGAAATTTAAAAAAAAAGGCAATTTAAAATAAGTTATTTTTTAAGCTCACTTTAAAGCATTTTCACTAGAAGGGAGAACATCATTTCCAGTTCAGCTGAGCATTTTTGTTCACTTTTCAACTTGCTGCCATCTGTCACCTTTTCTTTTGCAGATTGAGTTGTGTTTGTATCTCTTTTTTCCCCCAAATGTTTGCAAATCAAACAACATTCAAATGTAATCAAATATATGCACTGGGGTGGTACATCTGAAGTGGATCACTTGAAATTCGTGACTTTTTAAGAGAGCTGATAAATGTTTACTATGGAAATAATTAAATCAGAATTTCATATGAGGTGTACCCTGCCCACTGTTAGGCTCATTTCATGCAGAATGATAACTCTTTGATTTGTGGTTGATTTTTTTTTTCCTTTATGCTTTCTGTACTCTTGGTATCTGAGGTATCAATCTATCCAGGTTTAAAAAAAAAATTTGGGAGAAATCTATAACATCTCTAGATGAAATTGATCATTCAAGCTCAGTTCTGTTTAATCAACTATAGCTTTTTGCTATATTTGTGCCCTTTGTATAAATATATAATTTATATGATTTTAATATATTCTGTATATATATATACTTGAATTGGCCTGTTCATATTTTGGTTGTAAAATTGTTTTATAGTTAACCTTATAAACATTTTACATGTCCCTTGCCAATGGTGATGGGATGGATTTTGTCTGCTGCTGTTTTTAGTATAATTTTGCTGTCTACATGTTCAGCATTTTAATAATTTGAAAATAGCTTTACTTTACTTTTTGCTGTTAAAAATTAACTCTGCAGCATATTTTTGTCCTAAAAGCCCCGAACTGTACAGTTTTTGTCCCACTCAGTGATTGGAAACAGGACAAACCTTGTTAACCTACAACTCTATGCTTCTTCCTAGTGCCTTTTCAAAGAGATCCTCTTGTGATTCCATATTCCAAGTCCTTTCTCCCAGCCTCGTGGCTCATCTCCACAGAGAGCAGCAGCCCAGCCAGGTGGGGGAGAAAACAGACACAGAGGTGCCTCTTCCTCACCCCTGCAGGTTCCTCAGGTGCCACAGGCGTTCCTGGTTAGCAGATACCTCATGTGGGAGAGGCAGCCTCGCTCCTCCCTGCCTGCTGCACTCACACCCAAGGCTGCTCCCGGCTGCCTTCAGGCCCTGCAGCTCCCTCCCTGTGAGCTCAGCAGGGGCTGCCCATCTCCTCTGAGCCCCCACAGGCTGGAAACACCCAGGCACCCCCTCCCTCTCCCGGCTGCTTCCCTGCTTCCCTGCACTGTGCAGTTTAATTGCTGCTTCAGGGCTTCATCTCCCTTCTGCTCCCCGTGGAAGGTGTTGGGAGAATCCTCACTGGAAGCACAGCTCGCCACCAGGCTTGCTGTGTTTGGCTTGATGATGGTTTGTGTCCAAGGGAAGTGTGTTTGAAACTGTGTAAACAAGATTTATTTTTCCTTTTGCTGTTGGCAGTTCTGTAAAACACAAGGAAGACTCTGAGAATCCCAGAACAGGCAAGGCTGGAAGTGACCACAAGGCTCATCTGGTCCCACCTCCCTGCTCAGGAAGGGCCATCCTGGAGCATAGGGCATGGAATTGTGTCCACATGGCTCTGGAATATCCCCATTGAGGGAGACTCCACACCCTCTCTGGTCTCTGTTCAGAGAAGTTCTTCCTCATGTTTGGGTGGAACTTGTGGGCATCAGTTCCTGCTCGTCCCTCTTGTCCACAGAGCATGGCCTGCTCCATTCTCTTGGCACCTCCTTTGGATATTTACACACATTTATGGGGTCCCCTCTGTTGTCTCTTCTTGGGGCTGAACATTCCCAGCTCCTTCAGCCTTTCCTCGTCAGAGAGGCTCCACTCCCTTCATCCTATGGGAGGTTTTGCCTCTGCTGTTCCTGCTCCAGCATCTCCGTGTCCCTGCTGTCCTGAGGGGCCCAGAACTGGGCACAGCACTCTGACTGGGCAGAGGGGCAGGAGTCTTCTCTGGGAAGCAATTCCCCAAGGTTTGTGTGGAATTCAGGGACTTCACTGTTCAAATCCAGGGTCAGTCCCCTCTGCTGGCAAGGCAGAAGAGTTTGTAACATGATTTTCCTCAGACCCTGGTGAAATGATGGAGCATTCAGCTCTTAGCTCTCACCTTCCCCCAGCTCCATAAACACCTCCTCTGCTCTGGTACCTCTATAGTAAAAGGAGTTTGTGGATAAATTAAATTAGAGTCAGTATACTTGAGAAGCACCTCAGGTTTATTCATTATTTCAGTGTTATGATGTTCCCTGCATCCCATTTCCAATGCTGGCAGTGTATTCCATCAGGATTTTTTTATCACCTGTTACTGTTGATTCTGAATGCCTCAAAAGCAGCTTTGACTGCATAACTTAGAACTAAAAGTATTTTTCTAGTCTGATTTTTTTTTTAAAGATGATATCTGTCAAATCCATGCACACTGGAGCTGGAACCCTTCCCTTTCTCCTGGCAGCTTTCTGGGAGAGTGCTGAAGTCTAAATAAAATGAGTGGTGAATGCAGTTCTTACTGGAATTGTTGTCTATTGTACAGGACAGTTCACATGAAACTGTTTTATTCATTAATTTTTTTCAAATTTGGTAATTTTTGTGCATCAAGCTACAGTCACAGTATTGTACAGGTCAAGTAATTAAAGAGGAATTTTTTTTTTTCCATTGTGAGGGTGGGAATGGGGATCAGAAGAGAAGAAAGCCATGGCTGAACTGGTTCCAGTAGGGACAGAAGCAAAGGAACTGCTTGGAAATGTGACTGGAGCTGTTCCTGCTTTCAGGGCTCATCCATGCCCTGCAGAGGATTCACCTGAGTTTGTTGGGAAGTTCTGGGATGCTCTGGAAAGCCTGTGGCCTTCCAGAGAGCCACTCCTTGGTGTTGTAGTTCCTGCAATTTGGGAGTTTGGCTTCAGAGCCTGAGTGAGGAGCCAGAGATGCTGAGTGTGTCATAGTGAGAAACTGCAGTGGAACTGTGAACAGAACTTAATTATGTTTTAGTGCTTAATTATATTTTAGGGCTGTGGTCATTCTCTGTTTAGTGCTCTTCCAGTAACTGGTGGATTCCTCACCATTTTTCATTATTCTGGAAGTGAAAGGAAGTTTCTCCAAGGCCATCATGTTTCTGTTGCTCCATCCCACAGTCTTGACACTTTCCTGTGCTTGGAGAACCATTGGTAGGGATGTGGCTGTGGTGAAGACTGACCTGATGGCATTTAAATCCATTTTTACCCTGGTAGGAAAACTGACCTGACACTTCATTTCCTCAGTTTTTCACCATCCTGTGACTCCTTGGCTCCTCATTTTTGATTTATGCACACAGTTGCAGGTACGCAAATAAATACAGCTTGGAAGGAAAACAAGGAAAACACAAGCCAGGTGGTTTTGCAGTGTCTTTTGACAGATTTTTCTCATTATTGTGGGTTTTCTAAGCCCTGGTCACAAGTCTGCACACTCAGTGTTGTGAGGTGAAAGGACAAATGTAGAAGGTAAGGCTGGTTTGGGGGGTGGAGAGGGGGAGTTTCTAGGATGGAGTCACAGTGGCTCTGCAATCTGTGTCCCACTGAGTGGATCTGGGAACAGCAGTGGAGTGACCCTGGACTGGCAGAAAGACAGAACTTTACTGTCTGTGCTGCTCAGTGTTCATTTATTGGCAGCAGAACAAAAATTGAAGCTGCTTGCACACCCAAGCACCAGATAAACCCCAATGTCTGTCCAGATTCCCTCACTGGGGACATATTTATGTTTTCTTGGTGGGTAAACCAGCCTCCAGGTCACCTGGAGTCGCTCCTGCTGCTGTCCTGGGGATTGGGGATGGGAATGGCTCTGGGATCCACCATGGAGAGTCCTTGGAAGGCAGCACAGCTGCAGGAAAAGCCTCTCCCACAGCCAGCCCTGTGTGATGGAGGGGGATGTTTACCTTAAAAACAGTGTGAGCAGCTGTTCAACTTCTGGGTATATTTGTAACATTGGTCTTTTTATACACCGTGTGAAATGGACTGGAATAATTTCTTTTGCTGTTGTACCTGTGGAAGTACAAGCCATTTTACAGGAAAAAAAATTATAAAACAAATTAAAATATTATCTCAGTATTGTCACTGACTCCTTCAGTTTATTTTCCCTGCTGGTTGGTTGTCAGAGCTTGACTTTGATTTGCAAAAAACCATATAAACAACTTCAAAAATAAATGGTTTCTTTTCCTCTTTTATCCCCTTTCTACTCAGCAAACACAACCTGAAGCCTTTGATTGAGGATTCTTAAATATTGGAGGTAGTGGAGCGTATTCAGGTGTGAGTGCCCTGGAATTTCAGTTAATTCCCTTCCCTGATTTTTAAATTGAACTGTTTGTTTTCAGTGCCAGCTGCCTCCTTGCAGTGTTAACATAATTGCTAAATAAAAGCAATTTCCAGGAATAATATGCTTTGTGACTCTTAAAATTAATTTCCATAATGGGAATTCAGTGGTTTGTTTTCCATCTGTGTATTCTGCATCCCTTTTTTTGCAGGTGGTCCCTGTAAGAACAGGAGCTTCATTTTTTTTTTAAAGGAGCTAAAATGAATAGTCTGCTTTTTTTGGAACTTGGAAAACAAGTGTTGGTGTGAGCACAGGGAAGGGAAATAAGGATATCTGCAGTGTTTTCTAGATGTGGTCACCTGCCAGCTGGCTCTTGTGCTTCCAGGGCAGTCA